GTGATGGTCAGAGATCCAGTTTGTTTGTCCAGCTTCAGTCTGTCTCTGAATCTCCCGCCAAGAACATCCTCATATACAGTTATTCTGTCATCACGTTTATTGAACTCAACTAAATTAATTAATAGAAAAATCCATTCAATCTGATCATCATCTGTTATTTTAGTGAGACCAGAGTTTAGAGTCACTGAATCTCCCTCCATCACTGACAAGGGCTTCGCTGCATCATCACCAAACACACACAGAGAACAAACAGAAAGAGGGTTTGTCACAGATTAAGACTTTTAAATAACTTGATTGTTTACTAAAGTAAATAGTTTAAAATGTAAATTAGAAATTAATTACATAAAACAACAGAACTGACACAAAATAAGAAAAATTGTGTGTGTATTGTATCTGGTGATTAAAAAATAAAACAGGTGAAACATACCTCCGTGAAGTTGGCCCCCCACCCAACGCAAAACGTCGGCAAAATAGTCTCAATCGTTTGTGCTGGTTTGTGCTGTAAAAATTTTCGTTTGTGCTGCTTTGGTTTTTTAGATATTAAAATAATATTTATAGGTCATTCTGAGGTCACTCAGCCCCCCAACATACTCCAAATTCACCCCAAATAGTCTCGTTCGTTTGTGCTTCGTTTGTGCTGGTAATATTTTCGTTTTCGCTACTGTCGTTTTAAAAGATTTTTTTCCACAGATTGTCAACAGATTAGTCAACGCTGATGGCCATCTCCACAGGCTAATGTACGTGCATTTAATAAAGAAATGCACCTTTTCATATGTACCACATAATTAGAGAAGATTATTATTATTATTATTTTAATTGGTTTGTTTAATAGTAGACATTTCAAGATTTCTATAAATGTATTTCTTGTTTCTGTGAGCCGGTTCATTGTTGTGATGCGCTCCATTCACGGAGACTGCATGAGGAAAGCACATCCAAAAATGACGGAGTAGCCTATTCTAAGTTCTTTCCACAGGAAAAAAAAAATGCGAGAGATTGCGCGGGCGCCTCCATATCATATAGTAAGCGCGATAATACTCCCACAAATACTTGAAATGAGCATATATAGCGATTTTATTATTCATATAAAAATAATAATAATAATAATAATAATACCCTGTTTTGGTCATATTTACTATTAATTGCCCAGCTCCCCATCAATGATCTAGTGCAGAGACATATAGCCTAGTTCTAAACTGAATGTGCAAGAGAAGCATTAGCCAGGGGTAGGCAAGTTCGGTCCTACCTAGTCCTGCAGAGTGCAGCTCCAACCCTGAAAAAAAAAACTCGCCTGTCTATAGCCTTAGTAATCCTGAAGACATTGATTAGCTTGTTCAGGTGTGTTTGATTAGGGTTGGAGCTGAACTCTGCAGGACTGCGGCTCTCTAGGACCGAACTTGCCTACCCCTGCATGGCCTAGGCCTACTTCTAATTTGGCCAAAGAAAACTTGTTAAAATAAAAAATGTTCTATATTAATTTGTGCATTTTTCAGTTGTTTATTAAAGTTGCAAAACGTCATAAACAAAAATCTAAAAAAAAAAATCTATATTTTTCTTTTTCGGGCAGCATGTTGTGTACGGTTCTAATTTCAAATTTGGTTTTCAGGATGGTATTTAAAAATACAACAACCCTTCTTTTTTCATTTCTTTCGTCATGGTTAAAAAAAGAAAAATGAATGAACGCAAATAAGCTACACGGACCTGGAAACAGTAGGCTATTGCATGTTTTATTTGTGCGCAGACACGAAAATAGGCCTATGAATATCAAGAATTTATTTTTTATTTATTTTTGTTTGTTTTGTACAGACATAATGAAATAGGCCTAGTTTTTTTTTCTTTTCGTTTAATTGGCCTAATTGAACGAATATGGCTACTTACAATTAAGTGACTGTGACTATTTCATGTGATTTGTTTTGCCGTTTGAATTTTACCTTATTACTTCAACTGTATTGTTAAAAAAGACAGTAAAAACAAAAATACTACCGGTACAAACCAGAACAAACAAACGAGACAATTGGGGTAAATTTGGAGCATGTGGGGGGCTGAGTGACCTCAAAATGATCATTAAATACTATTTTAATATCTAAAAAACCAAAGCAGCACAAACTAAATTTTTTACATCACACACGGCGCACAAACGATTGAGACTATTTTGCCGACGTTTTGCGTTGGGTGGGGGGCCAACTTCACGTAGGTGTGAAACCTATATTTAACTCACTACGGACGTTGAGATATAAAGTTTTCCTTATTGGTCCATTGATGTGTAGATAATAAATTCCAGTATGTTCAGCTGTGATGTTTGTGATGGTCAAAGATCCAGTTTGATTGTTCAGGTTCAGTCGGTCTCTGAATCTCCCGTCAGGAGCATCATCAAATACAATCATGCTGTCGGTCTGTTTATTGATTATAGCTAATAAAGTGTTAAAAAACCTCCACTGAATCACACCATTATTCTTCATTTTAAGAAGACGGGATCCTAGAGTGAATGAATCTCCCTCCATAACTGACCAGATCTTATCAATCATACCTGCAGAACAGAGTTTTTCACAGATTAAACATTTAAATAACTTGAAGTTGCTTGATGAGTCCTTCATTAAAATACTTTTAATTATTTAAATGTTAAGTGAATAATATGAATGAAATGAATGAAAGGAGACTATGCTCAGTGGACATTCCATTACAGAATGTTAATCCTCTCCGACTAATTTAACCATTAATTTATTACATGTTACCAGAACAGAAGCAACTGAAGCCAAAAAAACTAATTTCAAACTCACCAACCAGATAACCAGAGGCCCCTGTGATAGAGCATTACGGTAGACCCCCCTACCCAAGATATTTTTTTTGTCACTTGACGATTATTTGTTGAATTTCATTTTTGTTTTTCTTGTTGATATGCCAATTAACATTTACAACACTGTTCTGCGATAAATGTGAATACATGTGAATATGCAAATTCAGTCTTTGCCAGAAGGTGGCGCTTGTGGAACAGTGGTTACATAAAGTAAACACTGCTTTATTTCAAGCACTATACAGAGGTAATATGAAAAGAAAATACCTTCAAAACTTCCTGGCTGAAATGTGAGTTTACAGGTATGATTTAAACACCATAAATTAAAATATTCATTATTCATCATCAGTAGATCGAAACTATCACTTTGCAAGTTGGCACAAATGTAGCCTATTTGGTGATTGCTAATAGTGGTCGATAATAGTGGATTGCTAATAGTGCATTTCACTTGCTGAAGACAAAACTAAAGGCAGAAAGACCCACAAACAAAACAACTGAAGTCAGCGGCGGTAAAGGCCTGGCAAAGCATGACAAAAGAGGAAACCCAGTCTTCGGTGATGTCCATGAGTTTTACACTTAAGGCAGTCATTCTCAACAAAATATTAAAATGTAACATTTTATTTATGATCATAATTATTTGTCCAATTACATTTGAGATCGAAACTATCACTTTGCAAGTTGGCACAAATGTAGCCTATTTGGTGATTGCTAATAGTGGTCGATAATAGTGGATTGCTAATAGTGCATTTCACTTGCTGAAGACAAGTGAAATGCGGGGGTTACTGTGTATATAAAAATCCTAAGCATTTGATGTTATATTTTTGTTCAACCCCTTCAATTAAAACTTAAAGTCTGCACTTCAATTTCATCTTGATTGTTTAATTTAAATTATATTCTGGTGGCATACAGAGCCAAAATTATGAAAATTGTGTCAGTGTCCAATATTGCGATTACTGTTTTTCCTTGAAGCAGTACCTCTGATCACAGTGACTGAATCTAAAACCTTCAGCTTACACAGATTATATTCACACATTTTTAAGTAACTGAACTCGCACTGTATGATATTACAAATAAACTATTTGTCCAGTCCGGTTCCTTTCACACAGCAGGGCGTCACCAAAAATGCCATTGCGAGTCCTGAAAATTTACGAGTGTGTGAGTTTTTTAAAACAAGCAGTTAATTCATAAATTTATATAATCTTATGTTCATGCTGTGGAAATACAAATGGAATACAGAAGACAATAAGTGCAGCACTGAAAAGGGGCGGAGCTACATAAGGTCTATATAATGCTGTTGTCACTGCTGCAAACTCCCATATATAAAATAATTATATGAAAAATATAATTTACCATTAATCAGGTTCATCATTGTTGCCCTTTGGCCTTCAGCCAGTTGATCCTTGGGTGTTAATGCACCCCTGCCAACCAGACCCCACAAACACAAACAGAACAAAACTAATTTGAGAAACATTTTCTTCATCAGTTCACTGAAAAGCTCACGATAGTGATGCTTAAAATGTCTGAAAACACTCACGACTGAACTGTGCTATTTATCTGGTTGTGTGTGAATCCTCCCCTAACCTCCATCACAGTTCATCCTCTTTTACATCATGAAAATCAACAAGGTTTTGCTGAACTTACATTTTCAAACTTAAAACCAGGGACAGGCAAAGTTCAGGCGATCAGCAAACATGCTGATGCAAGGCAAAACACACAAGCGGTGAACAACGTTCAAGTCAAAACCAGTGTAAATCAAGCAGAAATAAACAGGATTGGTAATGTGCATTCATCCACACTTGGGTTTTTGAGCGTTTTCCAAAAGTTGCTTGTCCACGCTGAAACATCCGAATACACTTAAATCATCTACCCGCACATGCATTTGTGCAAAGACAGGCACAAATACATCAAAAAGTGTTTTGTTACAAATTATAAATACTTGCTCATCAAATGTATTTAATTTAAAATACAAAATACTGGTGTGAGCAGAGATGGGCAATAAATACATGAAAATGTTTTTAAAATAAAAATACAAAATACTGAGTTGAAAAATGTATTTAAATACAAATACTTTATTTTGTATTTTGAAAATATACAAAATATGTGTGAAATTGGCCATCCAGTGCAGGTATCCTTATAGGCTGAAATCTATCTGGACCTATTCTGAATGCAAAAATAAATAAATAACTAAACAAACAAACAAACAAACATTTACATGTGTATGAACATTACATTCATTTAGATAGCTATTTTAGATATTTAGACAGATTTTTTTAAAGGCATACTGGCTACTGCACTAATAGCATATAAACTTACCTGTAGCAGATCTATACAGGCAGAGCCGGGGAAGGTGGAGAGTTTCAGAGGAACTCTGAAAGCACACTGCGAAATACTTTATTGAATGCTAACCAGCCATTTAAATATAAAGCAGCAAGCTCATTGGCTGCATATGCAACATGAACCAATCAGCTTGTACCAATTAGTTGAATGAATACATTAGTTTGCATTACGGACCCATCAGCCTGTGCCATCTAGAGTTTCATGACACAACTTTGCATTTATTCACAAACTTCTCACAAAATTATTGTTTGACAAACTTACTTCCACTCACTGCTGCTTTCTGACGGTTTGGAGAACAATTTCTCAGAGTCGCCCCCCTGTCATTTCACAGGGGCGAGCATGTCAAGTATAAAAGCCTCGTCTGTTGGGCCGGGCATACACTGTGCGATTTCAGCAACGTTTTTGTTAAATACCAACTCTCACTGTACGAGTAAATCTCATGCAATGTAAAACCAAAGCTCAGGATTTATGTTCTCACACTATACGGTCCGTTCATCGAGCTGCGACTTCACTGCACACACTATATGAGCGCATGTTAGGGTTGGGGGGAGGGGGCGTGGTCTGAACTAGTTGATGCATGATATAAGCACCCTGATAACGAGTTTGACAGGCACAAATTATTTTGTGTATTTTGAAAATACAAAAATACTAATCTCAAATGTATTTAAATAGAAAATACATTAGATTTTTTCCAAAGGCTTTAAAATAGTATTTTGTATTTATACGTATTTTAAAGGGGTCATATGATGCGATTTCAATTTTTTCTTTCTCTTTGGAGTGTTACAAGCTCTTGGAGCATAAAGAAGATCTGTAAAGTTGCAAAGACTAAAGTCTCAAATCCAAAGAGATATTATTTATAACAGTTAAGAGTCAACCACACCCTCCTAAAACGGCTCATTCTATCTAGCCCCCACAGGTCTACGTCACGATGTGGGAAGATTTGCATAATGCCGCCCAAATGTTCACACACAGAAAGAAGGTGTAACTTTTATTCTCGCTGTAGTATTAATGCTGCCGCTGGCGCCGCTGCCATGTCGTGGATACGCTGTGTGTTTTGTTGTGAAAGCGAAACTACTTTGTTTGGCCTTCTTTAATCCTGTCTTGAAGAAGATGACAGCACTCGGTCTCCAGCCCTTCCTCACATATCCGGCGGTAATTAAACTACGGCACAAAGGTGAGCAGATGATGTTCGACTCTCCTCAGAAAGCGGAGGATTTTATCAGCTCACTGTCACAGAAGAAGACATATGCTGCAGCTCTGCAAAGCAACGGGAAAACAGTGGCCACCATCTCCATCTCTTCGGCCCAGCGAGAAGAACTTAATGAACTTAATCCAGCTGCCCAGGAGAGGATAATAACAAGGTTGACATGGACACTTGCTGAATCTCTTTTATTTTTATTTTTTCCTCTCTCTCCTCCTGGGATATTGTTCATATTTATCCGGCACAACTCTCTTTACTGGTAAGACTAACAACCATAATTTTTTTATTTTTGGAGGGGTAGGTTTAATTACAAAAATTTTTGACTATGTGGGCCTTTTGGGGACATGTCTTGCGTTGAAGTGGACCGGTCACGTATCATCACCATTTTTAGTTGCTCAACCTACGTTCTCGGTAATGTGCGGTCTGAGTTGTTTCTTGTTTATAGTTGTTTGTTGTTCCTGTTTCTGTGTTGCTTTTATTTTTTACAACAGACATTCATACTTTTATTTATTTTATTTTATTTTAAGGATTATTCATCTAGGTGGTTTGATATCTAGAATGCACACCAGCGTTTACGTTACTTACAGAATGGGAGTGCTTTTGCTTTTCTTCATTTACTGAATACAATTTTGGGATTATGAATATTCAATGCATACTCTAAATATTTTATCATTGAATGTGAATGGCCTAAATTCTGCTGTGAAACGTACTCGTGTATTAGAATATTTACACTGTAAATCGATTTCCTGTGCCCTGATACAAGAGACACATTTAAAACAATTTGACGTGGCACGTTTCCAGAATAAATATTATAAATTGGCAGCCTTCTCCTGCCCTCTTAATAAAACTAAGGGGGTGCTTATCCTTGTTAACAGGGAGTTACATTTAACAATTGAAAATACCGGAAGTGATGAGGAGGGTAGATTTGTTTTTATCCGTTGCAAAATACATAATAATAGGTTAGCATTGGTCTCTATTTACGGTCCGAATGAGACAGACAGTGCATTCTTTACAAATATTTCCAAAACATTACTTGAGCAGACTGATTGCCCATTAGTGGTGGGTGGTGATTTTAATGCTGTAGTAAATCCTGCTTTGGATAAATCTCAATCTGATACAACAGTCAATCCATCTTCTAAATTAGTGAATAAATTTATCACTGAGCTCAACTTAATCGATCTTTGGAGAATTCAGAATACTAAATCTAAGGACTTTACTTTTTTTTCTAATAGACATAAGACTTTCTCTAGGATAGACTACATATTTCTCAGCCCATCTTTAATTTCGTCTAATTCCTCCATCTCTATATTACCAATTTTATTATCTGATCATTCTGCTGTGTTGTGCAATATTCCTCTTTTCAAAAGGTGGAGGATTTTGTTTCTTCACTGTCAGTGAAGCGGGAAGGCAACAGCTACCTTCTCCATCCTTTCAGCTCAACGAGATGAGGTCTGTGGTGATCCTAACTGCCCTGAAGAGGACAATAACAAGGTGGCCATGGACACTTGTTAATTTCTTTTTGAAATCTTGCCCCTGTCCTATACGCTCGTCCGCTGACTGGTAAATAATAATGATTTATTTTATTTATTTTTATTTATCATTACTATTTTTCGGGCTAATGGAGAGCAGGTTAGATCTCTAAGTTTTTGGCTCAGTGGGCCTTTTGGGGACATGTCTTGCATTGATGTGGACTGGTCATGCATCAACATTTGTTTCTTTTGTTTATGCAGACCTACACTCTCGGTAATGTGCGGTCTGCTTTGGCTTTTGTACATAGTTGTTTGTCGTACCTTTTTCTTGTTTTTTTCTATGCCCTTCAACAGATGTCAATACTTTTATTTATTTTGCTTTTCTTTTAAAAGGATTATGCATCTAGGTGGATTGGTATCTAGGATACATACTAATGTTTACATGTTACTGGCATTATGGCATTGCTTTTGTTTCTCGAGCACACAATGCAGGTTCTGAATATCTTATCATTGAATGTGAATGGCCTAAATTCTCCTATTAAGCGTACCCGGATGCCTCTTTCTATTGAACCTATCTGGAATCGCAAATTATCAGATTTTGACTTATCGGTCGACTGGGAGATGGTGTGGTCTAGTCTAATCTTAACTTCTAAAAACTTTGCTCATCGTCTTATCCATTTCAAAGTTATCCATAGAGCATACATAACTCCTTACAGGGAATTAAGGAGTTAACTGAGGTTCGGGAGCGAGGCCACGCCTCTACCAATCACCTCACTTCCCGAATCCTTCATATATCGGGCTGCCTCATACCGCGCCATTGACTCTTTCTCTCGAACGACAGACGGACTCGCCTGGTCTGGACAATTCAATGTCACAGGCGTCGCACGAGGATCACCTCTCATCATCACGATCGCAGTCGTTCCCGAGTGCTCGCGTTCGGTCGCGCACATTCCCGGGCCATGAGCGCCCACTCCCAGGCTCGTCTCGGGAGGACTCTGAGCGTTTCCCAGGCTCCGCCCTCTCCGACAGTGGGATCCGTGGGCCGGGATCGCCATCATCGTTCGTGTGGCGGGCACCGAAACGGAATCCTCGCTCTCCTCACGAGCCGCTTCTCCGGTGCTTCCTCAGCGCTCCCATCGCACGTCTTTCAGAATCCAGAGCCGAGGACAACCGAACCACGGATGGCCTTCAACACACACTTAAATGCAAGGTACCCAATTCAATCATGCAGATAACAAACAATTATTCCAACTATATTCAGTATCAATAAAACTTCTGTCATGACAAACTCTGAGCCCTCAGCACTTCCGGCAACTCCTAGGGAGTCACTCTCCGTCACACATGACGTCACGAGGAATTCTCCTCCACAGCATCAGACAGCAGCTCCCCCTAGCGGCAGGCAAGACGTAATTCCACCTGCACTCGCTCAATCTGATCTCTCCCAAATTCTTCTCTTCTCTATGCTCACAGTTTGCTCATAAAACCCCGCTCACAAACATCCTTTCATCCCAACCTCCATCCCTATACCCTTCC